ATATGTCCAAATTCATCAAAATGTATACATTAAATATGTGCAATTCTGCATGTTAATTATACCTCAATAAAGCCTAATAAAAAGAACTGTCAACAAATATTGATTTCTAGTTAGTAGGTTTTTCTTTCACAGTGATATAGATTAGCAATCCTGAAACTACTTTCTGTATATTCTAGGGCTGAGTAACAAGTAAACATTGTGGCTAGCAGAAGCAAGGCATCTTTCTTTTTAAGGAAAATGTTGCAAATATGGAAAAGGAGAATGCTAGAATGAACCAAAATAGAATTGGAATTATCAAGTTGAACTCAGAGGTAAACTGGAGAAAGTTTCCAAGCTGAAGCACAGGGAGGAGAACCAACCCCCAGGTAGAGTTTGGCAGATGCCAAGTTGAGGAAATGGAGCTGAGGCTCTGGGAAGGCTAATACAGCTTGTGTTTGCAAGGTAAAGTACTATGGAGGAAAGAACTGCATAGGAAGAGAACTCCAGAGATCTTAAAATGATACCAGATATAAACAAAGAAACTAAGAGCATTAGAAATGGTTAACCATATAGTTAAATACAAAGACTTTTCTTATTTAAATTTCTTAAAAAGATAATAAACTATTTAAAGTAAAGCTTATGACATACATGCAAGTAAAATGTGTGATCACAGTGGCACAAAGACCAGGAGGGGAGAAATGAAAGTATGATGTTGCAAGATTCTTATATTATGTGTGAACTAGTAAAATATCATTTGAAGACCGACTGTGATATGCAACAAATGCTATAAACTAGTGGTATATCAAAAAATTACACAGGTAATTTTTCCCTGCAGCAAATATTTGGCTAAGTCTGGAGACGTTTCTGATTATGACAATTGGCTATTGGCACCTAGTAGTTGGAGGTCAGGGATACTGCTAAACATTCAACAATGCACAGAATGGCACCCCCCATCCCCACCTACACACACAACTATGTGACCCAAAATGTCTATAGTGACAATGTTGACAGACCCTGTGAAAAACCCTAAAGCAATCATCAAAATAACAAAAGAGTACAGCTAATTAGTCTATAAAGGAGATAAACGTTTGACAAAATACAACATCTATTTTTATTGAACACATATTCTTACCAATCTAGGAATAGAAGAAACTTCCTCAAACTGATTAAGGGAATCTATGAAAAATCTTCAGGTAACATCATACTTAATGATGAAAGAGTAAATAACTTCTCCAAAGGTTAGGAACAAAGTTACCATGACCACTCTTACCAGCTGTATTCAACAGTTTATTAGAGGTTCTAACAATGAAATAACACAAGAAAAATAAACAGAAGGCATCCACATTGGAAAGAAAGAAGTGAAACTACCTTTATTCACAGATGACATAATCACCTGTAGATAATCCAATGGGCCCTTCAAAAAAGCTGTTAAAATTAATTGAATTTAGCAAGGTTGTAGGATATAAACTCAATATACAAAAATGAATTATATTTTTATATAGTATCAGTAAACAATAGGAAATTGAAATTAATACAATCATATTTACAATAACATAAATACATGAAATATAAAGGGATAAATATGACAAAAGATATGGAAGATCTGTATATTGAAAACTAAAAACCATTACTGAGATAATTAAAGATCTAAATAAATAGAGAGATATACCATGTCCATACTTTGGAAGACTCAATATTATTAATATGTTAGTTCTCCCCAAAATGAATCTATAGATTCAACATAATCCCAATTAAAATCCTAGCAGGCAGTATTGGGAAACAGTCTATCAGTTTCTTAAAAAAATCAAACACGGCCGGGCGCGGTGGCTCACGTCTGTAATCCCAGCACTTTGGGAGGCCGAGGCAGGTGGATCACGAGGTCAAGAGATCGAGACCATCCTGGTCAACA